AGCCCTGGCACCACCGGCGCGGCACACAGGCAAGCGCCGGGACGTGAGCGAGCGCCGGGAGAGCGGCACGGGGTCAAGCAACAGGCACCGGCAACCCTGGGAAAAGTCATTCCCCGATGCTGCTTGCAGCACAGGGGTCGTTACTAAAAATCCATCCCCCCCCGCTTTTTTTTTTTTCTTAATCACACCAGGCTTGGTCCCATTAAAAATAAGAGCGGCACCAGCACTCTGCTCCACTAGCTCCGGAGGAGCTCAGGGAAAGGACTCTGCAGCCCCCCCACCCCAAGCCATGTCCCTCCAGGCACCCCCGCTGCTCCCTGGCACAGGAATTTGCCCCTTCAAAATTTGGCTGAAGCTGCGCCGGGGCGGATCCCCCAGGGCTGTTTCGGGCAGGCAGAGCCGGCGGCGATGGTCAGTCCCAGAAAAGAGCCGTAAAGATGAACGGGGAGTAAAAACCTCCAAGGTGGTGCCCTCGGAGCAGAGGGGGTTTTTGTGCTTTTGAGCAGGGGGTGTTACTCAAAACGCTCAGGTTTCCTGCCAAAGCACCCAGCTTTCAAAGCCTACCTAGGGACTGAACTGCAACACCACCGAAAGTGGTGTTTTTGCCAAATATTCCTCCGGGTCAAGGCTGGGCAAAGCGTTTTGTCTGTCGTATGAGATTCTTATTTTAAATGCTTTGCCTCTAGCAAAAATTCAAGTCAAGGAGCTTGTTTTGCGAATCTGCCTTTGCTAAGTCAGCAGTGGGAACGACCACTTCAGTTCGTTTATTTGGTCAAATCCAACCTCGCTGTTAGGAAGCAGAGGAAATGGAAAAATACGTAGTATTCTACCACCCTGCACTGATAGATAGCTCCTGAGCACTGAAAAAAAGGTCTGCCTGTATGGCAAAAAATAAAGAGAACCCACCTACAAAGGCAAACACCTTCACCCCTGCAAATCTTTATATTCTTGTTCTGACTCACCTCTCTATATTTCGGGGGGGAAATAAATGAGCATTTTACATATACCGTTCTAGGTTGTGCAGCAATCATTTAAAGGGAGTGTTTTAATTTCTACAACAGCTTTTGAGCTCAGAAGGAGAAAGTTTGTTGCGGAATTATATCTTTGTAATCGCTTTTTGCTCCCTTTATCCCCTCCGCTACCTGACTTAATTCATCATAAGGTTATTCTTTTACGTTTCACTTATTAGCTTTGTGCGCTGTAAAGTGAAAGAGATCTTGTAAATGTCAAGCAGCTTTCGATACAGAAGCTGGATGACACTACACGTATTGAACCTAGAAAGAAACACGGTT